CAAGTTTTGATAAGCAGAATAATGACCCCACTAAAGAAATCCATGACTATCCTGATTATCTAGATGGTTCCAGTGTAATCACAAAGCTCTTTAAAAGGCTGAAGAGGCTGGCAGAAGGTAGAAAGAAGAAATGTAGTAAAAGAAGCAGGGTCAGCACAGGAAGATTGGATAACCTGTTCTACCACTGCAGGCTCTAAAGATGGAAGGAGACCACAAGTCAAGGGATTTGAGCAGCCTTTATAAGCTGGGAAAGGCAAGGAAATGGATTTTCCCTGTAGCCTCCAGAAGAGAACAGAACCTTGCCAACATTTTGATTATAGCCAAGAGACCTATGAGACTAAAATTCTAACCTACAAAACTATAAGAAAATAAATTTGCACTATTGGTGGTTTTTGTTTTGTGGTGCTGGGGATTGAACCCCAAGGGCCTCACATATGCTAGGCAAGTACTCTACCACTGAGCTAAATCCCAGAACAAATTTGTGTTGTTTTTAAGCCACTACATTTGCAGGATAGTCACTCCTTGGTATCTGTGGGAGACTGGTTCCAGGACCCTCATCACCTCCCTGGGATACCAAAGTCCATGAACACTCCAGCTCCTTATACAAAATGGCATGGTATTCACATATAACCTACACACATCCTCTTGCATAGCTCAACTCTAGGTTACTTATGATACCTAATATAGGTAGACACTATGTAAATAGTTGTACAGTATTGTTTAAGGAATAATGACAAGAAATAATGTATGTGTTCAGTATAGATGCAATTTTCTTTCTTTTTACAGGGCTGTGACTTAATACACACTGGGCTCTACCACTGAGTTACAGTTCCAACCAGGTAACATTTCTTCTTTTTAATTTTTTTCCCCCTGGTGCTACAGATTGAACCTAGGGGCTTTGCACTGAGCTACATTCCCAGCTTTTTTGTTTGAAACAGGTTCTTAGTAAGTTACTCAGGCTGGCCTTGAACTTGCCATCTTCCTGCCTCAGCCTCCCAGTGTGCTGGGATACAGGCATGTTGCACCATATCCGGAAGTAACTTGTTCCTTAAATTTCACAGATGAAGAAAAAAGTGTACCTCAGCAGCGATTATACACAGAGCCTCACTCGTATCTGATTTAGATGGTGAGGTTTAAGTGAAATTTTAAAATTCTGAGTAGATGCTATAATGGGTTGAAACTTTTGGGATCACAGGGATGATGGTGAATGTATTTTGCACATGAGACAAACATAATCTTTTGGGGCCAAAGGGTGGGCTGTAGTGGGCACAAACCCCCTCCCCATGAAGGCATCAATGTTTTAATTCTTAGAAGGGGTTTTAGTGATGTAATGAAATTCAGGACCTTGATATTGATTGATTGTCTTATACTATCTGGGTGGGTCACAATGTAATTTTCCTAAAAGTAGGAGAGGCAGAAAGTTAGGACTCTGCTCTGTTACAAAGTGAGAACTCTGTTGTCTGCTTTAAAGACAGAAGGAGCCAGGTATGGTGGTGCATCTCTGCAATCCCAGGTATTTGGGAAGCCAAGCTAAAGGCCAGCCTGGGCAACACAGCAACAAAAAAAGACAGAAGACATTAGCCAAGGAATGTGGGAGGCTTCTAGAAACTACAAACTGAATCTTCCCTAGGGCAAAAAAAAAAAAAAACAAAAAACAAAAAAAAAAACCCTGACAATACCTCAATTCATACATTTGCATCACATTTCTAAACTACAGGCCTTTAAGACTACACATTTGAGGGCCAGGGATTTAGCTCAGTGATTCTGCCGCCTGCTTTGCAAGCACAAGGGCCCAAGTTCAATCCCTGGTACCAAAAAAAAAAAAAAAAAAAAAAAAAAAAA